CGGCCGGCCGGGTCTATTTAAAAGTTTCATGTTATGAAAACCAAGTAATCAAATTTGTATGGCCTAATATTAAATAAAAAAAAAAGTTTTTATTTTGTAATAAATTTATCTAATAAAAGTAAACATTTACCTATACAATTTCAAAATTTTTTTTTCTTTGTATATCAAAATAAGATCTTGTATATGCTCACTTACTCTTTTACAAACCTTTGCTCTAAACTTAGGTTGCTAATCTCGTTATCATTACAGTGATACAAGGCTGCATCACGAAGTATATTTTTACATAAAGCTATATAAAATTTTTATATAAAACTACATATAAAAATTATACGTAAATCTACAAACCCAATGTAAATCTATATAGATATAAATTTTATATATTTGTAAATATATGTATAATTAAATAAAATATTAAATAATATTTGTTTAAATTTTATATAAACTTAGTAAAAATAAAGCTTGTTTAGAGTTTATTTAAATTATATATAATTTTTCAAATAAAATATAAATAGAATTTTATATAAATTTAAATTTTATAACAAATTTATATAATTTTCAAATAATTAATAATAAAATATTGTATACGCATATAATATTTATTATATTAAATAAATAAATACCAATATATATATTTAAATACAATGCAATTATATATTTTTAAAAAAATAGCATAAAACTTAATATATCTGTAAATTTGCTATTCACGTAATCTGCAGTAGTTGCTTCGAATCTCCATCAAATATTAATTTTGTTCGCTATCAGATGAACTCGAATCTTCTTGAACTTTTTTAGTAATTGTTTTGACACCATCATACTATTATATAAATTAAAAAGTAGTCAAAAATTAATTAAAAATGTGGTACATCTCAAAAAATTAATAATATATATTACTAAGAATAATTGCAGCTTTCGAGTTAAATATCTTTCGTCGAATTTAATTTTAACAATTTTCAGATTAAACAAATTATGTAAAATAGCTCGTGTCACTGCATATTGATTCTTTGTAGGCTGTCAGCCAAATACTTTTTTAGCAATCATTTGATGATATGTCTTATTCTCTTCTTCAATTATAGAGTCCAGATTTTCGAAACACTATCGTACTGCTTCACTTGATTTCCAAGAGATTATATCGGCTTCAGAACTTTCTGAATTAACTGTTGGTGAAATCTTACTTTTAAAGATATGTTCAAACACAGCATGACGAAAAGATCCAAATAAAGCACCACAATATCTGTATGATTCAGCACTAATCTATATTTAAAGTTTAGTAAGTTACATAATTATAAAATTCATAAATAAATTGTTATTATTTACTGAATTTTCAATTTTACTATACAATGCCTCCTATCTAAAATTTTTTTTGTATCGTTCCATTTTGTCTGGGCAAAGCTCTTCAAGTTTTTTTCGAATAAATTTTTTGTAAATCTTGTCATTGGGATAAAGCCAATTATCTATAGAGGACTTGATACCTTGCATCGCTTCTCTCTAAAAAAAAGTTTTTTTGTTACTTCTTTTGAATTAAGCCAATCAATTATACAAATTTTATATTATATACCTTATAAAATAAATAAAGTATCGAATAAGAATAAAGTATTGAAATAAGTAATTTAAAAAAGAATAATAATAAAAGTATATATACAGTACCATCCACTATTTATAACTATCATCTTTTGTTTTCGACTTTAAGTTTTCGTATGAAGATTGTAAAGTCTTAATATCTCTAGAAAGTTGAGTAATCATAGCTTCTAAAGCATCTTGTTTTTCAATAATCAAAGTGCTTTGTGTTAATAATTTGTTAGTTATTTCTAATAATTTATTCACTATACTGCTTTTTTTACCCAAATTTAATTTTAATAGTTAGTTACTATATTGTAATCTAAAACGCAGTAAATTTTATATATCTTTAGAGCTGACTATAATTTGTATCAACAGGTACCTTTTCTGATATATTAGTTAATATCTCATTGAGTGGAGACCTAGGTGGGCTTTCAATAAGTTCATAAGAAGTTGCTAATATAGAGTGAAACAAATTTTGTAAATTATTATCGATATTGTTATTATTAATATTCTCAATATCATTTTTTTCAGATTGTTGTGATATATTATTTTTTTGAATGTGTTGATCAATAAGTTCGTTTGTTTTCGTTGTTTTTTGTAGTTGAAGTTAAAGAATCAGCAGTTAATGCATCTAATATCTAAAAATAAAATATATATAAAAAATAAAAAGTAAGCTAAAGTTTTTTTTAAGTGTTTAAAAGTTCAATATTTATTAGTTACTGAGGTCATTTTATCCTGTTTTGAGCCAAGCTTTCATTTTTGACTTTTAGGAAGCATAATAATAGTAAAAAAAATAACAAAGGTTTAAAAATTTTAAAGTTGTCGATCAAATAGATTTTACTTTATAAAAGTAAAATGAAATAAGCAACTGATCTAATTACCTTAATTATTAATTAATAAGGCAATATAAAAATTAGAAAACTATATTGTAATATTTAATTATTGGTTACAATTTTATTTTTTATTTATATTTCGCTATTTTAAGCAATTCAAACAATTACATACTTTGTGTTACAGTTTAACTATTTTTTGTTATTAATTAAACTCTTCATTGTTTTTCTACTCAATCGTCATATTCATGCACTCAATGATCAAGGTACCTATTATACCCAATCTTGCATGTGCTGCCCCACATTTCGATTTATCTATGACTCTGATTGATCACATGGTCATGTGAATCAATCGATTCATTCTTTTGTTTACTCTTCTTCTCTATCAACTTATCAGTTAATTCAATATTGATTTGTATACCTTATACAAGGTACAAGGGCTCTTTACAAACTACATAACATTTAATGTATGTAATTATTACTTTATTTTTAGTTTAATATGCAATTATATAATTTGATTTTTATTAATACTCAAAGTTTATTACCAATCTCATTTTAACCTTTATTATATTCATATATAGTATTTGTAAAAAAGAATTTGGCCATCTAACAAGCATTAAAAATCATAAGAAAACTCATAAAAACTGTTATCAAATTGAAGATGAAACTGATACTAGCTTTAAAAATGAGAGTACAGATAGTGATATTTCTGAAAGATCAGAAGTTCTAAGTAAACCGATAATAATTGTGGCTTAATATTTGATAATCAGAATAGTTTTGACAAGTCTTATTTAGAATTTAATTCAATGTTCGATAATTAAAAGAATACTAATGAATATAGTTTAATGCACAATGATCAAGAGATTACTAATGAATCTAGTACAATATTCGATAACCAAGAGACTAATAATGAATCTGATTTAATATTCAATGATCAGGAGATTGCTAATGAATTTGATTCAATATTAGATGATCATGAAACCACTAGTGAATCTGATTCAATGTTAGATAATCAAGAAACCACTAATGAATCTGATTTAATGCTTGTTAACAAAAAAACTAACAATGAATCTGATAAATCATGTGTTAAGTATTATATAATACAAATCAGCATCGTTTACCTTAGGTAGCATAAAAATTGCCCTATCTCTGTAATTTAAAAACCACGTTATTGTTTGGGTTAGGGTGAGAATAGATAGTATAGAGTTAGAGTTTAATTAGGCCAGAGAAGGTGGTTTCTTATTAAAATTTTGAGTTATTTCAGTTTTTTTTGTAAAAAAAAAGGTTTCGCTTTGTTTGTTTACATTACACCTGTTCTTGAAATTTGATTGATCAAAAATCACAGAAGAGACAATTTTTGTAGGTGCACTAAAGAGATGATAATCAATCAAAATTTATTTAATTGATCATGCAGTAATTAGTTATTGTGTGATCGATCTCATTTCTATTTACTTGCACAAAAATTATCGATATATAATACCCACATAATTTCTAATTTAAATCCAACCCATGATTATAATATATGTTTCTTGTAGCTGTAGTTAATAACCAACTATATTGTATATAGGCTTCCCCCAAATAAAAATATAATAGCCAACATAGCAGCCAAAATTTACGGCTTATGTCCGAGATTTCTTGGCACACTATGCTTAATTTTATGTTTGTTTAATTTTTACCCCTCTCCCCTCTGTAAATATGAAAAAAATAACATTAAACGAAGTTTCAATTGCAAACAGCTATACTAGTATAATGCATTCACTTTAATATTATTTTACCCACATAGTAATTAATGTGAACCAAAATAAAATTTGATATAGCTAAACTTGGATTTTGCGAATAGCCAATTATCCATATACAAGAAACTATTACAATGATCTATACAACAATTACTCATCAGTATCTATTTTGATGTCTAATTCTGAACTACTTAAGCCAACCCATTTACTTTCATTTTCATTTTCCTCCACATTATCATAATCATGTAACTCTTTTTTATAACCATGCCTACCACAAAATTCACACATACTCATTGAATCACAAGTCTTATTTACACATTTTGCATGCCATCAACGATTATGACCTTTGCCACTATATTCCCCACATGTGTTAGTCCTGGGGCCACGTACTGATTTTGATTGTTTATCTTGAGCTTTTGATAACTGATTTTCCAGTACTGATTGATAACATGCTGTTTTGGGGGTTGACCTCTTCTAACTTTTTTTATAGGGTTATAAACTTGTACCTTCTCAATAATAACATTTGGTTCAGAATGTTCTTTGAGTATACTTGTTTTATGGCCAGAGGTGGATGCATTAGTTGTATTCTCAACAAGAGAACAGTTATTTTGAAGAATATAGGTTTTTAAAGATTTAAGAACATTCAGGTCATCCTTTTCAATAGCGATATTAATAGCCTTTTATGCTATTCCAATAGTCTCAGCATAAATTTTTTTTTTTTTGCATTGCCTTTTTGGCAACGACAGATGATGAAAGGCGAGTCATAGTGGACATTTCATTTGATACAGAAAATAAACTTGAGGATTCATTTGATGATAATATAGTCATTGGAGCTAATGCTTCAGATAATTCTGACAAAAAAACTGTGGATAAATTGACAAGAGATTGCATACCAAGATCTTCATCTTGATATTTTTCAAGCAACCAACACTTTGCCACAAAATTAATCGAAAATTTAGCAGCTAAAGAAAACACCATTACCCAAAAAAAATGCCTGCAAGAATACCCACGATTAATTAATAACATACAGCTGCATATAAAAGAGCCATCCGAAAGTAAAAATACAAGAAGCTGGGAATGTTGCCAGGTCATATGTATCACTTCCCAAACTTCAACTACTTTATCTTCAACTTGTTTGAAGAGCACAAGGGAATGAGCCAATGGATAATCAAAAGCATTATCGATGAATGCTGCATCGTCATCATCATCGTCGTCTTGCATCTATAATAAGGAATAAAAATAGAAGTTAATAATTGCTTCGCTAATTTAACAAGCCTGCCAATTAATTAATGTCATTTAAATAATAATTAGTAAAAATAAATGCCACCCATATGATGCATCAGAAATGATTATTTACTTGATATAAATATAAAAACTCTGTGTTGATTTTAGTTGGATGGTAAAATAAGCTATGGTTTATTTCATAGCAGATTTTTTCAATTAGATTAGGTGCAATGAAGCTCTTGAGAATAACATTAATATTTGGATACATAGTATCACAAACGTTTGGTGGTTTAATATTTGGATTTGATGATTTTCAACTAATGAAGTCATAATAATAGTCTTGACTAGCGATTAAAGAATTGAGTAAGTTGAACAAATTGTACAGAGTTGTACCATGGCATATAATAGATTTGATATGTGAATTAATTGACTCAACGTGACTTGTTGCTTGTGCACTAGCAGTAAAGTGACGAAAAGTATAAGCTCTTGCCCAAGAATGCCTATCAGCATATAAAGCTCTATTGAGATATAGTGCAGCTTTTGGATAATGTTTTGCAAAGATTTAAACCAATCTTCAAAAATTTGTAGATCCAATATATTGCGAGTTTTGTAAAAATCTTTAATGAATAAATCCCAATCAGAGCTTAATTTGCTTTTAAGGTTTTTTTGTAGATTTTGGCTAATATGCCAAATGCAATAAAGATGTTGTGTTGCAGGTAAAATAGTAGAAATAATGAGTGTCATAGGAGGATTGGCATCTGTCAAAATAGTGTTTGGATAAAGCCCCTCAGTAGCTTTAATTAGAACTTCAAGTAGCCAGGAATATGATTCTGCTGTTTCATCATCCAATATAGCTTGTGCGACAAGACAAGACCGGTAGGTGTTATCTATAACAATGAAGAGCAACAATGGCATATTATAAATATTCGTTTTTGCCATGTCATCATGAAGAATAATATCGCTATACCATATCCAAAGATCAAGCTGATTTGGAGACATCCAAAAAAGATGAGTTAAAGCATTAGTATTCAAATCAAACCGCTACTCAATAACCCATCTTGAATCCTTCTTCTTTTTTTAAATAATTTCGACAACAATTCTGCTTCATCATTATCTCCATGTGAGGCCATTCTTTTGATCTTTGTAATTGCATTGTATAAATTACTGTGATGAATCGGAACTTTGTACTTTTCTAAAAGAAGCCGATATTGAGCACTTGCATTGATTTTTCCTGATAGAGTATAAAACTCAATATCCTTTAATATCTCCTTAGTAAGCTTGCAATTTTTGGGAATAAATTGTATGGTGGTCAGATCGAGAGTATGGCCAGTATGAATGTTTGTAAAAGTTAAAATATGATATTCACTAAAACTTTTGCTCCAATAAATATTGACTTTCAATTTACAATCAGTTCAGCATGAACCAGATCCTTCAGTTTTATGTGATTTGTCTTATTTTTGTGGTTTCCTAGCATAATGACACACGAATGATTTTGAAATTTCATGTACACCACTTGCATCTTTTTCAACATGTCCTTTTCGAATTCCAAATCCATTTGAATGAGCAAATAATTTAACTGTAATATAAGCTTTTTCAACTGTTTTAAACTTTTGCCCTAACAACATAAATACTGTAAAATTCATCTTTTGACTTTTAAAAATCAAGAACTGTAAAGATTTACCTTCATAAAGTTCCAATTGTTTGTCAAACTCATCGTCTGATTGCTTGTCAAACTCATCATTTATACTCTCAAATTCAGAATTTAATGCTATTAAATTTGTGGGTTGTTGTAAAGTAGACTCAGTTGTCTGGAATATCAACGAAATAGTTGTAGACGAAATACTTTGAGGCAAAGGATCAATATTTTCTAGTTCCATTATAACTATTTAAAAGATAAGACTTTTAATACTGCATTTAAGTTACAACTGAATATTCAACCATAAAACTGGTAATGCTATAACTAACTTGCCTTTTTACCAAAAAAAATAATAGCGAATGCAACTGATTTCTGTTCAATGATTACAAAAAAAAGAATGTAATAGTTAATTAATGCCTGATATTCGCTACTAACAATTATAAAACTGTAACGACCCTTTTCCGCAAAAAAAAAAAAAAATAGCAAACAATAACGATTCCAGTTCAACAATTGTAAGCTGAAGGAGGTAATAGTTAATAAGTGCTCATAGTCGCCTGATGTTCACTAATAACAAATATAAACTGTAATTGACTTGCCTTTTCACAGAAAAAAAAATAATAGTGAATGTGAATGATTTCTGTTCAATAATTAAAATTAACAGTTAGTTAGTGCTGATATTCGATAGTAGCAAATTTTAAAACTATTAACAGTTAGTTAGTGCTGATATTCGATAGTAACAAATTTTAAAACTATTAACCGACTTGCCTTTCCACAAAAAATTAAAAATAAAAAAATAACGAATGTGAACGATCATGTTCAATTCAACGATTATAAACTAAAGAAAGTAGTAGTTAATTAGCACTCGTGGTTGTTTGATATTCACTAATAACAAGCATAAAACTGTAATTGACTTGCCTTTTCACAAAAAAAAAAATAGTAGCGAACGTGACGATTCTTGTTCAATGTTTATAAGCTAAGAAAAGGAATAATTAATTAGTGCTTGTGGTCACCTGATATTCGTTGGTAACAAACATAAACTGTAATCCAACTTGCCTTTTTACAAAAAAAAATAGCAAACACAAATGATTCAGTTCAACAATTGTAAGCTAAAGGAAGTAATAGGTAACAAGTGCTTGTGGTCACCTGATAATCGTTGGTAACTTTTGCATCAAAACACTTGCTTATTTTTAGTTTTCTTCGTTTTTCGCTAGCTTAAGCACCTCTTTTGTAACAAAAAAATAATAATGAATACTGGCTAATTCTTTTATAAATGACCAGCACACACACTTTTATTTAGATTACTATGCCAGGCGAAAGAAGAGAGTTGTTTGTTTTAATTATATCCTCCTATTTATAGTATATTACCTATTTTTTATCTAATTGGGTAAACAATGAGACGTCGTTGTGTAATATAGGGTTACACGATTCAAACTACAATAATAGCTGCATAAACATAGAGTCACATTGTGTAATATATAATCACACAGATCGACTACAATTTAATTGTGTAACATATAACTACTTATAGTACCCTGCACATGGTGCACCCCGTATCAAATAAATATATTCTAATTATTATATATAACTTTTATAAATAAATAAAATTTATATAAACTTTTACATAAAATTATATTTATATAATTGTAAATAAAATTTGATATAAATATTATGTCAAATTATATATAATAATTATTATATAAAACCTTTATATAGTATTCTATGTAGTATTTATATAACTTTGTAGATTTATGTAGATTTTATAAAAAAATGTACTTGCTGATGTGTGTAAATGACGTAATTGCAAACCGGGATCCTAGCGTTCGAAACCGATTTCAACATGTTCAACTCAATTTTTATACAATAAAATAAACCGTTTCCAGACTTTAGATACCAATTTTCCCTTGACCTAATATATAATTGGCTTAAGTAAAAATAAACAAAACAACGACAATTGCATTTAACAATGCAACTACTCATGTGGTACACTTTAAAGATAAGCAAAATCATATATACCAATCAGAAATGCATAAATATTTATCCTATCCCGATGCAAATCTCTCATTATTTTCCTAAAGAAGAAAGGATTTATTTAATAATACAATACACACTCATTTCAAACTCCTTTTGAGCAACTCAAGCGCCTAGTTTATATTTTAATTTTTCAATATAAAATCTTGATGGGATAAAATGCGCATGATTCGGAAACATGCGCATGATTGAGATTTCATGCGCACGCATGAAACCCATCTCTAGGTGCACCATGCGCCAAATGATTTAAATATATATAATTGGTGCACCATAAAAATTTTACGCGCACCGGCAACCCTACTTAATAGGCAAATGTGATTTAATTAGTAAAATTTCGAGTAAATTCTGCCTAAATTTTTGATCGTTGCTCTTAGCCAATCAAAATAGAGAATCTGCTGTGGCGAACAGCTAGGGCATTTCTTGCAATGATTTCGTAACTTGTGCACTTCATGCCGAATTAAAGCAATAATTATGTTTTATCAACCAGGAAATAAAAAATTTGGTATTGGCTAGCCGGTCAGCTAAGCCGATCTAGTCGACTATACTCAACTACGGCTATAGCTGGTCAGCTAGCCACTATAACCTAACCGAACCCATCCCTAAACGCAATATCATAAATAGTGCATGATTTTATATTTTATTGCATTTCAGTGCATTGTCCAATCAGTTTGGACACATATCATAAAATTTAAAATTTAAATTAAAAAGTTAACAATAGTTAATTTATGTTTCACAATATCGATATTTTTGGTATATTGCCTAATATTGCCGCATATCCTTGTATACCATATAATTATCTCATTATAATTGCGCTATTTATAACACTATAATATAGCTTTATTGAATTGTAAGCTCTTTATACTCTGGACATTGTTTTGAAACATCGATGCTGTAAGAATGAACCAAAAAACAAGAAACAATTATAGTGCAAACAACTCACATGTTTATACAATTTGTAATTCAGAAATCTTGCAAGAGCGTCTTAGACGTTACGAAGATGAAGCAGATCAAATTAATAGTATATCAACACTAATAGACAAAGTCTCATACTTACGGAAAAACGGAGAAAATGATGTATCAAGGGCAATCATTAATATTAAGGATTCAATGAATGTTGACATTTGCTTCATTCTAGACTGTACAAACTCTATGAATGAATATATCGAAGCAGCGAAAGAGCATATATTAAAAGTAGCTAGTTACTTAAAAAGCAATAATTCAAATATCGAATTCTGGGTTAGTTTCTGTGGTTATTGTGATCATTCTGATTATACTGATCGTTTACAAAATTTTGATTTCACTAATTCTCTCGAGAAATTTCAAAAGTATATAACCAATAAAAGGTCTTAACGCTGTGATAACTCAGATAGCATGGAGTAATGCCACTACATGGTCGTCGCTTTAATAACTTATATGACAATTATTCAGACGGTGGCCCAAATGGTTTAACTGCAGAAAGTGTGTTGAAGAAAATGCAATTAAAAAGCATTTTATACTACTTCGGAAAACTTACTAAAGATACTGATATCATGCTTAATGTATTTGTGAAATAATTGGAGAGTATCCTGTATTTGATCTTAAAACTACGGGAAATAATCCTGAGATATTAGTCAATAAATTTTGCAAGGCTACTAGTTCTGCCATATTTTCTTCTATTACACTAACCACAACATTAAGAAACTCAAAAAGTGTATACTCTTTGCAACGAAAAAACTTCAAATCAATCCATGTAAATCTGATTGGACTACACTTCTAAAGAAAACTGGAAAAATTTTATATTGTACTTTGCCTAATACTTTGAAGCTAAAGGCGAATATTATTTTATTAATTTAAGCTTTACTGAACAAGATATTTCTTTTAAACTTGCACCACAACCATTCTCAATCGGTGCTGAACGATATGCTTATTTCGCAAAAGCTATATTTATTAATGTAAAAGTCTTATACGATAAGACAGATAATGCTTACTACACTGTAGAATATTATATCGAAAATACTAAATTTAAAAAATTTAACGTGAATAGTGGTCTAATTATAGAATTACATTCATACACTGAAGGATATCTGATAGTTTATGACTTACAAGGTGCTGAACTCGATAATGAATTCTTGTTCTAAAATTCATTTAGCTCTGAGTAACGGGTTAGCAAGGCTTTTGTAAGGTTGGTGATCTATTCCACAATAGAGATCGTCTAAAGCTAGGTATTGTTTTTAACAAATTTGTAAATTAAATATCACGTGACGCATATACATAATTATGTACTACTTTGACGATCCCAATTTTGGAATTCGGATATGATCATTATGACATTTCCTAATCACGTTTTTAATCTCAAAATAAAATCTCATATTGTATTGTATATATGTACATTACAATATCGTAATTAAATTTTCAATTATGATACAATATAAAATATCTATTATGATCAAATGTCGTAATTATGTCATTTTCATTATCCACATAACAAATGTCGTAATTAATTTTCCCACTTAGATCATGTTTCAAATCATGTTTTGGGTCTGATTCAATTAAAAATGTTAGACCCTACAAACTCAGAATTAAATCTTTATATCTATAAACAGTGTCAACATAGTCCAGGTCACTTTGAACCCCATGATTAACAGCAGATCTTTGACAATTATCACCTGCTTCATCCCATCTTTTTCATCAATGATATTAGAAGCTTTTGTTTACTGGATTTTATGGTTGTGATCTTGAACTTTACTTCAACGTACCTCATCTAGAGCTTCATATGAATAACATTTGTATTAGACTAATATTCGAATAAATAGCTATCTTCGAATAAACAAATCTATTTGATTAGTATTAGTCATTTGGCGAATATTCAAAGAATCCGTAGGCTCTAATCTCATCAACATTCCTCTTCTTTTTTATAATCACAATGATTTTAGTGTGTTGCTATCTCTGCTGATTTTTGGTAACAAATAGATGTTTGATCCTCTTTACTATCATTTACTCTGATTTCTGGTTTTATAGTAATATCTGTTTTAGAAGTTCCATTGAGCAGTAACCAAATCAGCATGTATTTATCCTCTTTTTTATTTCTCTTTCATCAGCACTATTTCATTATAATAACTAACATTAAATGTTTGATTACACTATTTAATTCTTTATTATTCTCCAGTTACCTGCTTGTTTTTTACATTCATTTAATGTTTAATAATAATTTTACATATTGTATCTGGCATTTTA